TGGTAGAGTGCTAGCCTTGAGCTGAAGAGCTGAGGGACAGCACTCAGGCCCAGAGTTCAGGCCCCACGACTGGACCCAAAAAAAAAAAAAAAAAAGTCTCATGGACTTTCCTGCCAGGGCTGGCTTCAAACTGCGATCCTCAGATCTCAGCCTCCTGCGTACCTGGGATTACAGGCATGAGCCACTAGCACCCAGCTGTGGTTTTGATTTTAAAATAAGGCTTTCACACTTAAAGGGGGTATCTTCTTGCATGGTTTTTTGAGCTTATTATGTAATAATTGCCTTACAGGCTTTTCCGAATGTCTCCCTTTTGTCATCTATTCTGCAATCCTTAGTTTTTCTCAGGGCTTAGATCTGTGATCGGTGTGATTTAGATTCAAACCTTTAGAGTTCAGGGAGGCCAACTTCTATCACTTAAGGCTAGAAGATAAATGTTTAGGTTTTGCAGGCAGTTGAATGTTTGTCTCAAATATTCTATTATGATATAAAATTAGTTTAGGTGACTAGAAACCAATGAGCGCTCCTGTGACCCAATAAACCTTTCCTGGGCCAGCTGGAGTGCCAGGCGGGACTTAGTAGAAGGAAGTTAGGTCATTGGAGGCAAGCCCTTGAAGGGGATATTGGGACATTAACCTCATCCTCTATTTGTTCTCCAACCTGCATGAGGTGAGCACCTTCCACATGCTCCCACCATGATGTGCAATCTTGCTATGGAGCCAACTGACAGTGGACTAAAAATAAACCTCTCCCCTTATTAAACTGATTATTTCATGCATCTTTTTTTTTTGTTTCTTTTTGGTGCTGGTGATGAACCCAGGGCCTTGTGTGCATTAAGCAAGCACTCCATCTCTGAGATGCATCCAGCCTTAATCATTTTTCTGAGCAATATCTTTCCTTCTAAATCATTTTGAGCTTTATAAATATCTTAGTTCTGGGCTGGGAATATAGCTTAATGGTAGAGTGCTTGCCTAGCATGCATGAAGCCCTGGGTTTGATTCCTTAGTACCACATACACAGAAAAAGCCAGAAGTGGAACTGTGCCTCAAGTGGTAGAGTGCTAGCCTTAAGCAAAAGAAGCTCAGGGACAGTGCCCAGGCCCTGAGTTCAAGCAAAAAAAAAAAAGTCTTGGTTCTGTTATTATTTACCTATTTCTACATATTCTCTAGATTTCATTTGCTCCTTCTAAATTCTGCAATTTCACATTCATTTCACTGGTCTGACAAAGAACTGACTCATCGTGTTAGCCCTCCTCTCAACCCACCACAGTGACACTGTCACATTTAATCACACAAAACTTCCATCAATACTGGCTTGAAGGCTCTAAGCCTTAAAACTCACATGACTAACCCACAAGAATAACCAATTGCTAAGCGAGTGAGCAGAGGGACCTAACTACTTGCCTTGGAGATGAGCTCGTCGTGATTGGCCAGGTGGGCTCTGCAGTGGATGCAGCTGTAGGTTCGGTGACAGTTGGGCAGATAAGCTTGGAAAGTTTTGGATTTGGTCATTTTCACCATCTCTGCTGGGCACTCTTCACTCAGCTCGGGGCTGGCACTGGCAGAGCTGCGGCTCTGCTGGATTCTCTGACAAAAGAAACACTGGAAAATGCACACAAGAGCCGCCGTTGTTCCACACAGCTGGGACAAGAGAAAAAGGTTACAACCTGTAACAAATCAAGACAAGGCTGTGCGTTATAGACAGACTCAAACACAGTAAGGCACAATGCTTAGGATTCATGTCTCTTGAAGAATGAGGAGAGGGGGCTGGGAAGGTGGCTCAGTGGTAGAGTGCTTGCCTTGCATGCATGAGGCCCTGGGTTTGATTCCTCAGCACCACTTAAGCAGAAAAAAGCCGGAAGTGGTACTGTGACTCAAGTGGTAGAGCTCTAGCCTTGAGCTGAAGAGCTGAGGGACAGTGCCCAGGCCCAGAGTTCAGGCCCCTCGACCGGACACCCCCCCCCAAAAAAAAAAAAAGAATGGGGAGAGGGGCCAGACTAGAGGTTAAAGATATTTTAGGTTTTTTTTTTAAATGTATGCTTGTACTAGGGCTTGAACTCAGAGCCTGGCGCTGTTCCTGACCTTTTCCCTCAAGGCCAGCACTCTTACCACTTTGAGCCACTTCTGGTTTTCTGGTGGCTAATTGGAGGTAAGAGTCTCACAGATTTTCCTGCCCAGGCTGGCTCTGAACTGAGACCCTCACTCAGCTCTCAGCCTCCTCAGTAGCTAGGATTACAGGTGTGAGCCACCAGCTACCCCGCTTAAGATCTCTGTTTTTATTTCTTTTGTACTGATACTAGCACTTGAGCGCAGGGCCTAGCTGCTGTCCCTGTGGGTTTTTTTTTTTGTTGTTGTTATTTTGCAGGTAGGGCTTGAACTCATGGCTTGGGCACTGTCTTTGAGATTCTCTTGCTCAAGGCTAGGGCCCTACCATATGAGCCATAACTCTACTCCTGTTTTTTTTGTTGTTGTTGTTGTTAATTTACTGGGGATAAGAGTTTTACAGACCTTCCTACCTGGACTGACCTTGAGCCGTGATCCTTAGATCTCAACCTCCTAAATAGCTAGGATTATAAGCATGAGCTACCAGCACCTGGCTATCCCTTAACTTTTTAAATTTTTTTTTTTTTTGGTCCGGTCGTGGGGCTTGAACTCTGGGCTTGGGTGCTGTCCCTGCGCTCTTCAGCTCAAGGCAATCGCTCTACTGCTTGAGTCACAGCACCATTTCCGGTTTTCTAGTGGTTTATTGGAAATAAGAGTCTCCTGGACTTTCCTGCCCAGGCTGGCTTTGAACCACGATCCTCAGATCTTAGCCTCCTGATTAGCTAGGATTACAGGTGTGAGCCATGGGCACTGGCTTTATTTTTATGTTTAATGTTTTCTGTAGTGCTACAGATCAAATACAAGGCACTATTCATGCTAAGCACATGTTCTATCACTGGGGTACATCCTCAGTCTAAAATCTAGCTCTTTAAATGTACAAGATACTAATAGTGACATGAGTTACTGTTAATTACTCCACATTTATTAAGAAGAGGCAAGTGGGCCTACTTTACATACAAATCAGAAAAATTGAAAGTCTGACTCACACTTGCAATAAGAAGGCTGAGATCTGAGGATTGTGGTTCAAAGCCAGCCCAGGGAGGAAAGTCTGTGAGACTCTTATCTCCAGTTTAACCACCAAAAAGCTGGACGTGGATGTGTGTCTCCAGTGGTAAAGTACAAATCTTGAGCTTTAAAAACAAAAAACAGGGGCTGGGAAGGTGGCTCAGTGGTAGAGCGCTTGCCTTGAATGCCAGAGGCCCTGGGTTCGATTCCTCAGCACCACATAAGCAAAAAAAGAAAAAAGCCAGAAGTGGTGCTGTGGCTCAAGTGGTAGAGCGCTAGCCTTGAGCTGAAGAGCTGAGGGACAGTGCCCAGGCCCAGTTCAGGCCCCATGACCAGACCCAAAAAATAAAATAAAAATAAAAACAAACAACAACAAAGCTCAAGGACAGTGCCAGGCCCAGAGTTTAAGCCCCAGGATTGATAGCAAAACAAAAAAACCAAAAACAAAAAAACAAAAAGATTGGATCAAAAACATGCTATAGAGGCTGGGGAAGTGGCTCAGTGGTAGAGTGTTTGCCTCGCATGCATGAAGCCCTGGGTTCGATTCCTCAGCACCACATGAGCAGAAAAAAGCCGGAAGTGGTGCTGTGACTCAAGTGGTAGAGCTCTAGCCTTGAGCTGAAGAGCTGAGGGACAGCGCCCAAGTCCAGAGTTCAGGCCGCACAACTGGCCAAAAACAAAAACAAACATGCTATAGCATGTTTGGTTTCATGGTATAGCATGAAAGAAGATGTAGACAGCAAGATCCCATGAGCCTACTGGTGCTGGATATGTCCCAAATCCTGGACTTGACTCAAAGCACTATGACACTTATATGAGAGATGGATCTAGTATTAATTAATCTTCTGGTTTTTGCTGTTTAACTGAAAATGACTCTCATGGACTTTCCTGCCTGGGCTGGCTTCGAACCATAAACCTTAGATATCACCCTTCTGAGTTTGTTTTTTTGGTCAGTCGTGGGGCTTGAACTCTAGGCCTGCACACTGTACTGTCCCTGAGCTCTTAGCTCAAGGCTAGCGTTCTACCACTTGAGCCACAGAGCCACTTCTGGCCTGTTCTGTTTATGTGGTGCTAAGGAATCGAACCCAGGGCCCCATGCATGGGAAGCAAGCACTCTACCACTGAGCTACCTTCCCAGCCCCTTCTGAGTTGCTAGGATTACAAGAGAGAACCACTAGTGCCTAACCAAGTACACATCTAGTATAGAGGAATTATCTGTATCCCCGACCTGAGAAATCACCACAGTAAGGACAAAAATATGGGTAGAGGTGTAACTCAGGGGGAAGGAGTGCTTGCCTAGCATGTGGGGGCCCAGGTTTTGAGCCCTAGGAGGAGGAAGAGCAGCAGCAGCAGCACCACCACCACCACTACCACCACTACCACAAAACCATCAAACCCACAAGGAAACAATAGTATCAAGGAAGGGAAAAGACAAGCCACAGAAATGGACTCATAAAAACTTCCTATTCAAGGCATTGTACACAGGGAAAGAAATAGTTCTGCTTCTTGTTATATTTATAGGAATGATAAGCTTGGGAATAGCAAACAAGAAAGCATGACCTTGCTGGTATAGAAAATAACATAAGTAGAACTTCTAAAAATCAACTTCAAAAAATCTTGGAACACAATGAGCTTAACAAGATTAAGACACAGAGGAATTAGGAAACTTGAACAGAAGTCAGAGTAATTAATGATGAGGGATCTTCCCAAACTGAAGGACATAAATATACAGACCTAAGAATGTCAAGCAAGAAGAGTAAAAATGAATCCATGGCTAGGCACTTAATAATAGAATACCAAAGGAAATTTGAAAAGAAAATAAAAAGTCTTATGGGGCTGGGAAGGTGGCTCAGTGGTAGAGCGCTTGCCTTGCATGCCTGAGGCCCTGGGTTCGATTCCTCAGCACCACCTAAGCAAAAAGAAAAAAGCTGGAAGTGGCGCTGTGACTCAAGTGGTAGAGCGCTAGCCTTGAGCTGAAGAGCTGTGGGACAGCGCCCAGGCCCAGAGTTCAGGTCCAATGACCGGCAAAATAAAATAATATAAGGGGCTGGGAAGGTGGCTCAGTGATAGAGTGCTTGCCTTGCATGCATGAGGCCCTGGGTTCAATTCCTCAGCACCACATAAGCAGAAAAAGCTGGAAGTGGTGCTGTGGATCAAGTGGTAGAGCTGTAGCCTTGAGCTGAAGACAGTACCTTGGTTCAGAGTTCAGGCCCCACAACCACCAAAAATAAAAATAAAAAATAAAATAGGATGGGGGCCAGGGCGGGGGATGGGGACGGGGGGGGGGGACTGGGAATGTGGCTTTAGTGGTAGAGTGCTTGCCTAGCATGTAAGAAGGCCTAGGTTCAATTTCTCAGTACCACATAAACAGAAAAAGCTGGAAATGGTGCTGTGGCTCAAGTGGTAGAGTGCCAGCCTTGAGCTATCTTAGTGTCTGCAAATTCTCTGAGCTATCAAATTATCTACCACAGTACCCTGTGTGACTGTGAAGTCTCAACTGCCCAAGAAGGGTGCCATAATCCCACAATCAAGCAGTCAACTCTAAATCCCAGGCACCTTCTGCTATTCAAGCCCCTGAGAGGATCTTCTAACCATTCCCACCCTATGTGTTCAGCAGGAAATGGCGCCCTCCTGTCATCTAGGAGCCAGTGGAGGCCAACTCCCAGATTCCCTCCCAAATCTGGTGTTGCTCTAACTGGCAATTCTCTATTTCCCTATTGCTCTCAGCACAGACACCACCATGAGGCACCCTCCCTGCCAGACTTCTCCTCTTGTTCCCTTGTCCACTCCTGGCTGTCCACATAGCATGGTGCCAATTGCTACTGGTTGATTTTTTTAGATGTGGGACAGATGTAGCCACACACTCCATTCTTGCTCTGCCCCTCTGCCTACTTGTTTCTCTGACTTTCGGATTCCTCCTGGAAAGTGACCACACTGCTATGTGGACTGGAGGAAGAACATCAATTCAGTGACCTTAAGGATCATTACAAAGATCCCCAGTTTCCAACCAGAAATCCCAGACAGCTCTGACCTTCTTTGGAGACTTTCAGACAGGCTTCACCCTCGGTATCTTCACCTGAAGAGCCTGTCTGGGCTCCAGTGCTCCTAAGGTCCCTCCTATTACAGCTTATACTGAGTCTGGACTATTCTCAGCACTCACTGTCAGCCTTCAAAAGGCTGACTCACTAGACAGCTCCTTCAGATAAGTGTCAAGTCACCTCAGACCTAATGGCCACTCTCATCACCAGCCTTCACGTTCCTGCCACACACCAGCAAGGCTGCAGTGCCTGACAGGCTTGTCATGCTGTGTCCTATTGAGTCATTGAAACTCTTCTTAAACTTTTCTTTCAGTACTGAGGATTCTGAACTCAGGGCTTGAGCCATGCTGCCAGCTTACCTCAGCTTTTAAACTAAGCATAGGCTGTTGCATTGGAGGAATCATACCCAAGAAAAGCAACCAATGTACAAAGGGACTCTTTACATTAAGATCTATTGAACAAGCTGGCGTTGGTGGCTT